ACATTGTTGTGATTAATTGTGGCTGGAACAATAATGTAGCTGTAAAAATAGTGGCCTGCTAAAATTGAAATGTATATACATCTTCATCATGACTTGATAGACACGGTGAGTTTGTCTTTACTGTACACGTTAGATGTGATCCACCTCATAGTAACAATCCTGTCAGATCGTCCATCCTTTGAGTGAGAGCATAACGTTATAGGTCGGCCGATCTGGTTTCGTGGTTAAAGTTAACCTTTTCGACATGTTTCCATGTTGTCGTTGCTCAGCAAAAGCATGGACGCGATGTTGTCTGGGGGTTTGGCAAAAGGAGAGTGGGACGGTGGGCGGTGCTCGGGGGGGTGACTGAAGGCACTGACTGTGTAGTTCTGACGTCAACTTTTTACGGAAGTCACAACAGTTCATGAAAAATAGCTAGAACTTTAAGCAGGCTGTGTGAATTTTACTGTGGATTGACTGTTTTGAAAGGTATATGGTAGTTAAATAGCCCCTAGACCTCAGTAATTGTGAAAAAAGCCAGGAAATTTCAGTTTTGACAATATGGGACCTTTAATATGTTTTATGAGTTTCTGACTTTACAAACCCAAATATTTCAGCTGTATTAGCAGCTTAGTTTCTATAGATGGTCTTTCTGGTAAAGGGGGACATGCTTTAAATTTACAGTATGTCTTCTAATACTTAAAACACATTTCAAGTTTAATTTCTTATGATATGATTAAATGTGGGTAATGTCAGCATAATAATTGTAACTATGTATAGTACCTGTTGTCCTGTCGGTCCATGTAGTCTGACCCGTGACTCCGCCCTGAAGCGGGCGGCTCTGTGTTTGATGTCTCAGTGAGCCAGCCTGTGGAGAGCAAGCACAACTCAGACTCAATTTGTTCAACACCTCTCACTACCTCTCTCACTTTCTCCTTAGTCATCTCCTCATTCACTTCCCTCTCCCTCTCTCCGATGTGGCCTCCTGACACCTCTGGTTGCTCCTGTCTTTTCTCGACTTCCTCCTCCTCCTCCTCCTCCTCTCCTCCTGAGCCAGACTCCCTCAGGACCTCTGCCCAGGGTCGCAAAGGGGACTCATCATGATCTTTGACCTCTTTCAGAATCACTCTCTCCTGTCCCCTCATGTTAACGTTTAGTTCTTTTAATGGGGATGGTAGTAATGATGATGAGAGACGCTCTTCTTTTTCCTTGTGTGTTAGGTCTGTCTGTTCCACCGGAGGAGACGTTTTCTGTTGGGACTTTTTCTCCTCATTTTCTTCTCTCTGTTCCTTTTGTTGAGACCCCTGGTTCCCCTGTATAAGGTGGTCCTGTTCGATCCTGATCGTGGGTGGGTCTGTTTTTTGGACAGACTGGAGTGGTACAGAGCAAACCGAGGGGTTTAGAGGAGGTTCATCATGGTCTAGGGGAGAAAACTCAGGGGTAAGGTGTGAGTCAGGGTCACATGTGACAGCTGAGAGTTGTGTTGTGAGTTTGGGGTTGTCAGAAGGGAGCTGAGAATCAGGGGAGAGTATGTATGTGTGTATTTCGGCAGTTGTTTCAGAGAGTGTGTGATGCTGGTTTACAGGTTTGGACAGGGGCAGGTCGCAGGGTCTGGTTGGGGTGATTCTGACAGACTCGTCCTCATTGTACCGCTCTAGTCCCCAGGAGGGGCAATATGGGGGAGGGTCAAGGGGCAGATCTAAGATGGGTTCGATGTCATCAGACATAGAGGGGCAGATAGGGGGTGTGGTGGGGGTGGGGTTGGTAGTTGACTGCAGTTGAGCCAGGATGTTGTGGAAACCTGGGTGAGATGATACACACACAAATGGATGGACATGACAGGACACAATTACAATCACACACAAACAAGCACACACATATACATGCTTAAAGGAACAGTTTACCCAAAAATTTAAGTTCTGTCATGAAAGTTTACTCACCCTCATGTAGTTTCTAAGCTGCATTTCGTTAGTGTATTATTTATTTATTCGAAACAACATGAGGGTGAGTAAATGCCAATTTCATTTCTGGGTAAACTATTTTTTTAACATAGACACAGACAATCACCTAATCCCACCGTGAAGAGCAAAAGCACAGTATTTGACCATATTTCCCAGAGATTCAGCAGACATACAGACCAACAAACACAGTTAATACACAATGACAATGGAACAGATTCAGATCTCCAAAAACAGAGATTGTGAAAAGTTTGGGGTCAGTATGATTTTTTGAAGAAATTAATACTTTTGTTCAGCAAGGATGCATTAAATTGATCAAAAGTGACTATTCATCAATGAACAATGGTTACCACAAAAATGTGTCTTGAGCACCAAATCAGCATATTAGAATGATTTCTGAAGGATCATGTGACGCTGGAGACTGGAGTAATGGGAGGTGTAAATTCAGCTTTGCCATCACAGGAAGAAATTACATTTTAAATATATTAAAATAGAAAACAGTTATTTTAAATTAGAATATTTTAATAATATTACGGCTTTGCTGTATTTTTAAACAAATAATGCAGCCTTGGTGAAAAAATTCTTACCAACCCCAAAACATTTGAACGATAGTGTATATCTATGTGTGATCTCCCCATAGTCAAAGAGCTGTGTGTGTTCATGTCTAACTTTAACTTAAAAACAAATACATTAGAGTTGACATTTGGGTCTATAATAATAAAGTGGAGTAACACTTTAGATTTGGGAGCACATATTCACTTTTAACTAAGAGTTTTCCTTCAATAAACTCCTAATTACTTCTTATTGATTGTAAGCAAGGCAGTTGTTGTAGTCGTTATGTTTAGGTATTGGATAGGGTTCAGGGATCTAGAATATGGCCATGCAGAATAAGGCATTAATATGTGCTTTATACGTACTAATAAACAGCCAATATGCTAGTAATATGCACCTAGTTAATAGTGAATAGTGTTGTCTAATCTAAAGGGTCACTTTAGTTGGTTAGTTAGACACCATTACAAATGTTGCATAAGTGCAAATAAGAAGCAGTCTTAATTTTACAGTCATAGTCGAGATGTGTGCTGCTACTAGTATGGGGAGACTCAAAATCTGGCTAAGTAAAAATGAGGATAATGACGTCTGTTCAGATGAAGCGCTCAGTAGTAGAGGAGTTGAGACAGAGGGATGGAGTGATGAGGGGTGGTCCTGGGGGCATGTAGGGGCAATGACAGCATGCACAAGGGGGCAACGGTGAGGGCGGTGGGGAGAAGGAGGCAGGACTCAGGGAACGTGATGCACAGGGAGAGAAAGAAGGAAGAGAAGAAGGGCAGGGTGAGGGAGAGAGACAAATTCTACGTGCGGAAATAGGAGGTGACAGGCTGAGAGCAGGAGAAGGAGAGAGAGAGGAGAGAGAGAAGAAAGACTTAAGAGGAGTAGATGACGATAGAGAACTGGATAGTGAGTCTTGGGCCACATCAGGATGCAGTTGTATGAGGTGTTGTGGTGGAGTATTGTGGAAAAAAAAACACACACACACACACACACACACACACACAAAAGAACATGCAAGTTAGAAAGACAAGACAATGGCTGTATTAATAAGAAGAATGAGGTTCTAGGGTCTGGGAGGGGAAATGAGGGATTGTACTGGAGGAGAGGAGAGGACAATTCATTTTGCATCTGACAGAGGGAGGCACAGGAGACTGTAAGGAGGAGGAGACTATGGAGAGAAAGATGATCTCCTTCTTTCTCTTCTTTTCCCCCCTCTCTCTTTTTATCCCTTGCTCCAGTGCAGGGGAGGAGAGGAGAGAAGGATAGATGGAGGAGGAAGCAGATTGACAGCTTGAGAGGCAGAGGACAGCTGAGTCTTTTAGCTGAGGCCATGCACTCTGGTCCACTATGTAAAACAACAGCTGGCCTGTAACACTCCTACCAACTAATATCAAAAGAGCTTCATCAGGATACAGCTGATAATAACATGCATTCTGCTTAGAAATAACTCTTTCCTGACCTTTCAATAATATAATAAATTTCATGGCAGAGAACAGTATTTGTTTCATGTTCCACTGGCAATATACTGCAGGGCCTTCATTAAAACCAAAAGAAAAGTGTGTACATGTGTAACAGGAAAATTTTGTAGAGTGGCCCTTCCTACACTTGTTGAGGCAAAGCATCATGCTGTGATTGCTTCACGTCACATGACCATATACATGCATGTTCAAACCAGGTCCATGCATATGGTGTTGGGAGGAAGGGAAAAGGGTAACAGAAATGAAGAGTCTTTGAATACAGAAAGTCTTTAATATAAGAGAATAGTGAGTGATTAAATAAGACTGTGTGTGATCGGGGCCTGTGACCTAATCTTCTATAAATGTGGTTTCTATAAATCTCACTGAGGCTTCAAGTTCAAAATAGTAATTATTGGTGGCCCATCTGTGATTAATACTTTGGCAAACTGCACAGGGAGGTTGTAGAGGAAAAAACAAAGGTGACAATAAAAAAGGAGGGGTGGGGTTGGGTATGGGGGGGTATGGGGGTCAGCTAGATGGGGCTAAACTTTACCATCCGCCTTTTCCTGGCACACAGCGCTATCATCTGCAAAACTTCTGGTGCCTGAAATGTTACCATAGTCAAATATGGGCCCTTCCAGCAGAGTCACAATATCCATCCGGTTCACTTTTGTCAGGACAGTCGTCAGTGCATCCGCTAAGAAAACATAAATAATAGTGACTTACATTTATTTGCTTTAGGTAGATATTATAACATCACAGTACATGTAATACAGAAAAAGAAAGATATTAATAAAAAAAGAAAGATGGATAGAAAATGACTCTCACTTGTGGCGTTTTCCCCATCCCGAATGACCCACTTCTTAAGGAGCATAAAGCTCTGGGCTGTGAGAGAGTTTGGGTTCTCTGTGCGGATGTGGTTTATCTCATCAACAGAAAAATTCATCTCACGAGCCAGCTCTATAAAACAGAAAAACACATGTCATAACTAGCATTATCTCTGCGCAGTCAGCTAGTAAAGGAAGACAGATGTAAAGACAATTAAAATGAAAAATGCTACTACATTTTTAAACCTTCCATCATTTGCTGCGTTCTGAGTTCAAGAATATCTTTTTCTGAGTTAAGTAAACATTTAAAATTCTAATCAGAATCAGATATTTGGGAAAATACAGTGAGTCTTTCATAGTGTGTTGTAACATGTGAAGAATTATGAATTTAACTGAATTTAAATAAAAAAAATATTTATAAAAAAAAAAAATCCAGTTATGTGCTGCAATACCAAGAACAGGCACAAGAGGACACATGTGGCATGCTCTTTTGAGGATTGTTTGCCATTGATTACTAGCGATCAAATTATAATTTGCTTCCTATTTAAATATTTTAGGTTTCTGAAGGTCAGTAGTAAACAATTAGTGCCTGGCAAGTAAAATGTAACCTCTAAATTTGTCAGTCATATGGGGCAAAGTGAGTCTTAACCTGTCCAGCTCAGTCCCAGGTGATCAGCAACGATGGCCATGCGAAGGTCTGTTCTCTCACAGGGACTCTGTGGACCTGTCATGACATACAGAACAAAAACATTACAAACATGCAACTCATTCTTTTCAAATGAAGAATCCAGGTGACTTCCTTTTCTGGCCAAAACAAGGAAAAATTAACAAGATTTTTCTCCTACAGAAGCTATTAAAAGGAAAAGAAAAACTTGTTGTTGGATGTTTTTCGAATAGTACTGTGTTTGGCTAGAAAAGGAAGAACAGACAGAGTTGAACTACAATGTTTCAGCTACACAGCTGGTGCTCTGATTGTGTACGTGAAACAAATTTTCAACAGAATCTATGCAGGCAATAACTATGAGTTTATACAACGGTATAAAAAATTAAAACAAAACAATAACAAAAAAGAGACTTTGCTGAGATGAGGCATGCAGACAACATAGTACTGTACAGTTTTTCTAACAAAGTTCACAAACACTGAAGCAGATATATATTCCTCAACAACGTTCCTTTAACCAACCCAGCACAGATAGACTGCTCAGTGCCCCACCCCTCATTATTAGGATAAATTATCTGTGGATGGTAGGGGAGAGAGAAGGGGAGTTCTGACAGGGACAGATACAGGACGGTACAGTTACACAGCACAGTGATGAGAGAATGACAAGAATGACAGCTATTGTTCACGCCACAGGCAATCCAGTCAGTCACAACGGCTCATGCAACTAAGGATCAAGTAAAGTTTTCAATAAAGTTTTACAAACTAGGCTTGATCTCCGCGACGGGGGGCGACCTGCGAGCCCCTTCGTTCTTACTGCCCTCCTTCCCTCCTCCAGTCCGCTTACTCCTCCTCCTCTCACTGCCCGCCGCCCTTGTGACCTTTGTCCTGGAGGGTGTGACCCCTCGGGAGGAGCCAGCGGAGAGGGAGGGCTGGGACTGAGAGGGGTCCGATAGTGAGGTGCTTCGTGATGTGCTGCTGTCCTCCTCCGATTGCGACTGCTCTCCCTGTGACTGTTTCTCCTCGTCTGAAAGTCGTTCGGCCACCTTTATTGCTTCTCCGCTAACATTCTTTAAGAACTCAATTGACTGCCTACACACTTCGCTAAAGTTGCCTCTACCTGCCTCGGAAGAACCACATGAACTGTCTTTGAAAGGCAGCCTAGAGGGAACCACTGGTCTGACTGATCTCTCTGACTCTGGGAGCTTACTTGACCTTGGAACTACTTGAGCTGTGACAGCTGAGTTAGCTGCACCACTTCTTTTGATGTCCTTGACAGGTATTCTAGACTTGGGCTCAGGCATTATGGATGCAGGATCCACTTTCCTTGCCTCTGGCCTCACAACCTGTTTAGGCTTCTGCTTCCCTGAACTGAGTGTGTTAAAACGGAACCCTGCTGCCTTGACTGGGAGCCTAGACTTGGGCTGCCTAATTTCTGAGACTACTTTAGTCTGAGGACTCTCAGTACTGGCTTTCTCTGCTTTCTCCAAAGACTCCCTACAGAACTGAGCTTCTATTCTACTAGCTTTCTGTAAGGTGGGTTCAGAAGATGACTGCAAATTGAACACTACACTACCACACTGGATGTAGTTGGCCTGCACATTGGAGGCCTCTAAATTATTGTTGTTATTGTAGTTTTCTGATGGGTAATCTTTTCTGCCAGTCGGGGAAGAGTTAGTGCGCCTGCTATCAAAGTGACTTTCGGCTAATTGAGATTCCAAGCTAATGTATTCCGGCATCTGACTGTCTGAGGACTCAGTTTTAACATCAGTCAGTTCAGCTGAGCCAGTGTCTTTCTTTACAGTAATGGAAGCTGCGATGCCCATCTTAATGGGGGTGCGTAATTTGGGGTCGACTTTGGAGGCTGTGACAGTGCATGAGGTGGTGTCAGCGAATGGAGGTGGGTCCAGGCAGTCAGCACTGCCTTGCACTGTGCTGCCTCTGGATGGTGTTAAATCAGTGGTTTCCTCTACCTTTCCCTCTACAGCTCTTTCCCCTGCCTTTGAGTGAGAGGCGACTACCCCCGCATTCCTGCCCCCTTTCCCCTTGTCCCCTGACTGCCCATCTGATGTATGCTCACCAATCTGGAAAAACTGGAGTCTCTCTTCAACAAAGTCCCTCTTGCTCATGTCAATAGCACCACTGCGGGTCATCTCAAACATCTTGCCCTCATGGAAGGGGAAAGGGTTGGGCTCACTAGTTGGGGTGCTCTCATCTGTTGGGGTTCTTGCTGGAGTGGTATCCGGCGTGGTTGCTTGTGATTTGTCTTCAACTGACAAAGAACAGGGCTTCGGATCTTCATCTTTGTTCTTAGCATCAAAAGCTCCCTCCTCTCCCACTTTACCAGACCATGGATCAAAATCCAAGCCTTTAGTAGCCACAGTTTTAAAGGTAGGGTTTATGTCCTCCTCTAGTTGGTACTTGAAATAATTGTCTGCAACACCTTGTCTATCTGGGTGTCTTCCCTCCAAAGAATAGATTTTATCCTCTTTCCCATTGTCTGATTTTTTCCCAGATGGCCTTTTTGTTTTTGCCTTTTCCCCAGTTTCCTCATTTGGTGTGCTCTCCTCTTCAATCACTTCAAGTTTGCTCTGGCTGAAAGACCGATCTCCTGTTTTTCCCTCATTCGACAGGCTGGATGTTTTAGGGTCACTCAGTCCATCGTCCTCATCTTGTAGGTCATACCCATCAAGAGAATCTATCTCAGTGGCATCTGTATCATGGGAAAATTCAGCAGTTGTTGCTATTGAGCAATCAGTGATAGACTGATCATTTCCATTCTGTTCACATTCTACCTCTTCTCCTTTGACAATGCCATTGATACCTGACTCCTTGTGGTGTGAGCCGTTTCTCTCTGGTTTCCTAGGCTCAACACATTTCTCACACTCCTCAGCCATTTTGAAGGTGTACTTCTTAAGGGGGGCAGGCTGAAAAACAGATTCATCATCACTAGAGTCACTGTTGTCAGCTCCAGGTGGAAGAGGGGAAGGAGGCTGGACTCTGATTACTGGCTCTGCAAGGAGATGTCTGTCATGTTCCTCTTGAAGGTTCACCTCTATCATCTCTGTTTCTGCTTCTGAGGAAGGACATGACACCCTCTTTTCAGGGTCAGCATGTTCAGTTTCTAAAGGTGGTGGTGGTGGAAACTCGATGTAAGCTATGCGTTTGTCTTTTGACCTTTTTCCATTTGAGTCTTGTTTTCTTTTTGAAGGCTCTAACGTTTGAGTGGCAGACTTGGCTTTCTCTGCTGATACTTCTCTGAAAATGAAGGTCTTTGGCTGCTCCTCTTCCTCTGACTCCTCTGGGATTGGGCTAGGCATGCCAGCCATGGAACCGATGACAGGTTCAGGAGCTCTGGAGTTCAGGTCGTAGCTAACCTCCTCCGGGGTAGGCGTCTCAGGAGTTACCGGACTCTTCCCTGAACTGTCCATAAATGTAACCTGCTCTAACGTGTCATCTTCATGGCTTCCCTGTGGAGATGGTGGCTGTTTCTGTTTGACAGAATAAAACGCTCCTCGTGTTTCATGTACTGTCCTGCTCTCATGGCTTACAACTTTTTTGTAAGTGTTTAACTGTCCAGTAGCAGTTTCCTTCTCATACTGTTTACCTACTTGAATGCTGACATACACAGGAAGAGGTTTAATGTCCGCAGTGACACCCGGGGTCACTTCTTCAATATACTCAACTTGGTTATCATCCACACCATTACAGACTATATTAACAATCTGCCTGCTAGAATCTGAGTTCACTACAGATGACACATCACTAGGTGATTTGCTAGCACCGGAATTTGTGTGCTGTGTATTTCTGGCTATGTGAGACCCTGTTCTTTCAGATTTAATGGAGGAATCTAACTTTAAAGTACTACTTTGATGGTGGCCTATAAAACTAGATGAAACCCTAACAGGAATTTGTGATTCCGAGTTTTTTTTTAGAGCACCATTGCATTTTTCAGCATTACTAGGGTCTTCTCGAATTACAAGCTCTGTGTAAATTATCTTTTTAGTTGTTTCTTCTTTTGGGGTGTTTCCATCTCTCAATGAGTGCTGCTCATTCTGTGAGTCGTCATTTTGCCTATCATGCACTAGAGTATGAGTAAGCTTTGTCTTTTGGCCTTTCAGTTGCCCATTGCCATGGTTTTCCCATGTTTTGTATATTTTCCTCTCTTCATTGGCAATTTGCTCCTTACTGTAAACATTTTGGTGATGTTTTGGTGAAGAGTTATCTGACCTATTTCTCTGTCTTTCACTGTGCTGATTTTGTGCATGTGCTTGAGCCTTCCGAACATTGTAACTTTGCCCAACCTCACTATCTTTTTTAGGACTTCTCTCACTTTCTGAAGACTCTGTTGACTTTGGGAGATTACCTCCTGCAAAAACTTGATAAACAGGCAGCTTACTTTCCTGCAGCTTCCTCACTGGGGATCCTGAAGTTTGTCCCCATTGTGGACCTTTATCTTGTTTCTGGGCCTCTGATTCAAATTTCATCCTTACCGAGCTAACCTTAGCTGTTGAAGGCTGGAAATATTTCGACGATTCACTTGCACTGCTTGCAGATGAGCTGTCTCCCTTTTTCGGGTCATCATTGTATCGAAGCAAGACTCGTCTTTCAGGACTGCTTGGTAGACTGGCACATTTTCTGTCATGGGAATCATACTTATCCCTAAACCTGTCTCTACTCCAGTCCTCTCCAGTACCTCCAGTCCTGTGCACTGACCTCTCTGGGCTACTACGTGTTGAGCTGGGCCCAGAACGAGTCTCCCTTGCATCTTGTCTGCGATGCTTCTTTTCAGGGGACTGAAGCTCATCATTCAGTTTTTCAGTTTTATCACGAAAGAATTGTGAAACTTCACTAAGTTTTTCCTCAGCCTCTTTGACAGTTCTGTCTACTCTGTCCTCATATTTGTGATTCTCTCTGCTTTTACTCTGCCCGTCCTCAGAAACTCTCATCCAAATAGACTTTTTTGGACTATCAGGATCAGAAGCATACTGCAGCAAAGTGAGTTTGTCATAATTGTCATCTTCTGATGATCTACCTGACCTATCAGGCTTTAGCATGAATTCTCTAATTGAGCCACCTTGTGTTCCCTCACCATAGTATCGAGACCTGTCAATCACAGATTCGTCTGAGTCTGAATGAGAAGAGTCAAATTTATCTGACAGGAGCATTTTCTCTGCAAATTTGTACGATTCTCCCCTTGTTTCAGATGATTCATCATCATGGTACTCCACTGACTGCTGACTAAGCAGTTTCAAGGTTTTATCATCCTCCACAGAGACAGGCATGTGTATTCTGGAGTCCAGATAACAAGGAAGAGATTCTTCAGGTTCTATGCTGTCATGTTGCTCACTGCCCATTCTGTTTTGCAGTTCTTTCATGCCACTTTTGCCCTGATATATGTACATTTCCTTCTCAGGGTGATTTTTTGTTTCTCTGATAATTACTTCAGTTGGTTCAGCTTTGTTGCCTTTCTCGATGTGAACCTCAATGATGCGCTCGACTTTGGGCATTGGGTCTAGAGGCCTAACAGATGGATTTGCCCCTTCACTGCTGTTTTTGTGCTCAAACAGGCCTGTTAACTCTCTAGATGGATCCTTGCCAGATTGGAAGGCCTTCATTATGTCTCGTACAGACATGGTCTCCTCCATCCTCTCAGATGCAACTTCTTTAATGGGGGGTTTGTGGTATACCATTCTTGTAGTTGTTGTTATGTGAGTTTCCTCTTTGACCCGCATACCTTTGCTCATCACATCATCCTCTGCATTGACTCTGGCTTGGTAAGCTTTAACTCTTTCTTTGATGGACCCGCCAGGTGATCGGGGCTCAGTGTCTGCACATCGCAGTGGAGGCTTTGTCATTCTAGCATCTTCCAATGCTGGCTCCTTAGGATCCTCTGGAGGCTCATAGCTCCTTATGACATGAACAACCTCAGTTCGTGTTTCAGTGATGACAGGAGGAATTTCCTGAAAGAGGCCTTTGGGCCCCATTCCTTCTGCACTTTGGGGGGCAGAGGGAGTTCTCTCACTGCGAGTTTCAAACCCACTGTCTGATAGTGGACTTTTGTCTTGGTCATGGGAGATGTCATCAGGAGAGTCTAGTGCTATTTCAGGGCCAAACAATGCATCGGCAAGCTTTGATAGTTCTTTTTCTGAAGGTGAAGGGCGCATATTGGTCGGAGGCATTTTGAGCTTGTGCTCCTGTAATGCCTTTGCTGGTTTCAGGACACGTTTTTGTTTCTCCTCTCCTTCTCTCCTTGCTTCCTCAGTTCTTTGTTTAGCCTCTGCTATTTTAGAAAGAGAACTTGTGCCAATGTCGTTGGTTAGGTAATCAACAACTTTAGCAAGGTTAAAATCTCTCTCAGATACTGGTTTTGTTTTGACTTGAGGAGCTAATGTTTCATATCGAGGTGGGCATCTCCATTCATTTTGTGGATTATCATCTGTGTCATCCTCTAGGACATATTCTTTTTTGGTGTTTTTAATATTTGCCTTACTCTCTCTCAAAACATCCTTGCTAAGAATTTCACTGACTTTGACAAGGTCCTGTTTGACCTTCTCTACAATCTTGAAAGGCTCCTCATCTTCAACTTTATGTTCCTTAGAGTCAGAATGATAACCTTTGGAGCTTGAATTTGTATCAGTTTGCAAAATTGTAGACATTCTGATCAAGTCCTCCTTCATTTCAGCCACATCTTTTAGTATCTCCTGGCTGTTGGACAGAGGGGATGAAGAGGTAGCAGCTTTTATTGTTCCTGGGGACATGTGCATTGGAGTTTTGACAGGAGACAGAGTTCTGGCAAAAGAGGACTGAGTCTGGGCATTAACCTCTTGGGGCATGGCCTTTCTGGGGGACAGGAGAGCAGCTGTTGACATGGAGACTTCAGGGAGCTTTTTAAACTGGTGTTCTTGTAAGACATTTATGACAGAATAGACAGGGACTGTAATAGTGCTGGAAGTTACAGATGTGGTAGAATTTTGAGGGGATCTGAGGGAGGCATACAGTGAGCTGGATGCAGAAGAACGGATAGACTGGTAAGAGGATGAGGGAGTGGAGGACACTGACTTTAGTGTGCCATAGCCAGCAGAGCAGGAATTAAAAGTTTTTTCCACTTCATCAAATGCAGCGTTTACACTTGTTGTTGCTGCATTTGTTGTGGCTTGAATTCTTTCTTGCAGAGTGCTGGTAAGATGGGTTGTTGGGGAGGAGGAGCGATATTTGGTTGGGGAAACCGTCCCATTGATCAGCGCAGCGGTTGTAGTGGCTGAGCCAGATTTCAATGGTGAGGAGAGGGATGACAGAAATCCTCTGGCAGAGGCATCAGTGCTGGTTCTGATAGAGGAGAAGCCCGGGACAGTTTTAATGGGGGAGCAGGTTGCTGGAGGGTTTGAGGTTACGACAGACTTATATGGCAAACTTGAGCTGTACATGTTTAGTGAGGACTTAGGTGAGGCTGGAGGAGTCATAGCAATGGAGGATCTTTCCAGCAAGGTTCCGCCAGATGGTACAGGAGATGTCCTGGCTGAGAGCCCTGTGAGGCCTTTAAGTGAAACTGGATCAGGGGCACTCTTGCCTGGAGAGGACAGAAGGGTGGGGGAGGCTTGGACTGGATACTGGGCACCTTGAACTATAGTTTTTATTGGTGAGGAGATAGTTCTGTAGGATCGAATAGGTGATGCAACGTCACTGGCAGATTTGATGGAAGATGCTGGTGAACCTCCAATAATGGATTTGATAGGAGAAGCAGAGTTCACAGACCACACCGATCTCAGTGGGGAGGCTGAGGGGGTGTTGGATGAGGAGCTGGAGAGGGAGCCAAATCCAGACTTGGTCTGGCTGGGGACGTTGATGGGGGAGCTAGTTGCCCAGGCCTGGTAGGAGCGCGTCGTAAAGATAGGCTTGTAAGCGTAGCCAGAAGGCTGCGGCGTGGTTTTTGGAGTGGTGTTATGGCCTCTTTCAGCTGTTTCTAGCATAATCAAATTAATAAACAAAGTAAACGAAAATAGTTAAATAAGAGAGAAAAGAGAAACAAGAAAGATTTAGTCAGGGGATAAATCCAAAAACAAACAGCAGTGGAAATACTGAAACTGTAGCGGCTTTTGACAATGAAAAGTGAAACAAATAAAAAAACAAAACATAACTTATGCCTGTGGCACATGGGTGGAGATGCAAAATAATGGGAAAAATATCAGCCACTTAAATAAGCCAAGAAGCTCAAAATGTTCTGAAAATATGTTCAGCTATAAAATGATTAAAAAAGTTTTAATTGTCTATTAATTTCTGCTTAGGGAGGTCATAAGTACCGGTGTTTAGGTATGAAATCCTACAGTATTGGTAGTACTGAGTACAGAGTGAATTTATATTGAGTCAATAAGATTCCTGTCAAAATAGATCTGTGCATTAGGTTTTGCAGTGTAAATGCAGCCTAATAGACCTGCCACTATTTATTATATCATCAATATTAAACAAACAAAATGGTAAGGAAAAAACACTCACCGATCACAGCTGGGCAACTTTTTTTTGAATGACAGTCCCATTTATGGAGTATATATAATGTTTAGTTAAGAAACTTGAAGACTATATGCTATTATTTTAATTTATCATTAATATTTACCTTAATACTTTACCTTTTTAATTAAATAAGTATGTTCAATAGCCTATTAGTTCTAGATGTGGTTTTGAAATAACAAAATTTCACTAATACTGGTATTGACTACTGACATTTTGGTATTGTCACAACCTACTTTCCTTTACCCTCAAATGGCAACAAGCAGATAAACTGGCCAATTACAAGGCATAACATTTTAATAAATGAATAAGGAAGCAAGTACTGAGTTTTGATATTGAGTCCACAGTTTTCATCATGAGCAATTATAAGAAGTGTATAAATTCTTATACAAAGCAAGCAAATTCTTTAGAAAATTAAACAAATAATGACAACAAATAACAAATAATAATGATAAGTTTATTTAAAAACACATCAAGCAATATAAAACCTGTATAGACAATGTGGTAGCAAATCATATGAAATGTGAAACAATGGAACAAAAAACAATACACATGACAAAAGAAAAACAGAGAAGGCAAAAAAGCAAGCAAACAAATGAAATTATTTATGACTTATGTACACAGACATATACTGGCAGTTCTGTTTTTGAAAATGGTGAGATATGAGATTATTGTGACTTCATATACGCCAGTATCAGATGCCTGTGTACGTATGAAGCTTCGACTGTGTGATTATGTCATGCTGATGTTTCAAGAATAAAGAAAATGTAGGACTCACTGGATGCTGGATCGGCCAGATAGCTGTAGCGCTTTCGCAATGCTAATGAAGCAAAGGTATGTCGTCGATCTTTGTCATTCTGCAATAACACAAAAGTAAAAATCCTATGTAAGAACAAAGTGACAAAAATCGTAGTGCAGTGATCTTTTAAATGGCTAACGACTACAACTTCCTTTTGATTGTTTTGAAAGCACTGTATCTATGTTCGTCCAGATTTTTTCAGGGCATCTTTTAAAGAAATTAATTCATGTGGTGAACTTAATTTTGGATATCAGTAAAATATTTCAATTGCTTCATTTTCTGTAAGGAATGTTGTGCTTCATTTTACTTTGAAATGTGGTCTCCTGAGAGAGGGTCAACTAGACAAGCACAGCCCATTTGCTAACAATGTGAAAGGTTAGTATTTTCCTGTGAATCTGCCTAATTGCTTAACTTTGAAATAAAATTAAATAAAACTTAAATCTGCAAAAGTGATATGTGAAAAATGTTTCCACCAAGCCACAAAATAACACAACGCTTTAAATATACTCATAAACACAAAAAGAAGTCATGCTCTTGCCTGACCAATGACAGGAGCTGGGACAAAAGCTTTTGACCAATCACATAAATAAGCGAATGATCACATAAGCACCACATTAAAGGCAAAGGTGGACAAGTTATGAAATAAGTACCTCATCATCAGGATCCGACTCCATTTCCTAAAATTTCCCACGGTGCATTGCAGCAATACATAATGGAGCAGCAGCAGCCGAGTATGGTGAGTAGGTGAAGATGGTATTGGAAAGAGAGGAGAAAAAGAGTGGAAAGAGGACAGTAAAGGAATAGAAAAGATAATAAATACAGATGCAGAGATTAAAAGAGAGCAAGACAAAAAGAAAGGCAAAACAAAGTTACAGCTAAAGCAGCAACACAAATAGCTCTGTGACATGTTTAATGTTTAATAGACTCCAGATAACACTAGAGAAAATATCACACAATCATGTTTTTGTCTGTTCTTACCTTCCTGTGTGTTGGCAGTGAAAAGTTAAGGTTGCAGATTGCACTCTGTGGCAGGCCTTTTGCGATTTTTGGTTCTCTGAGGAATGAGATTCTCCCACATGGCTCTTGGCCCATATCTCTGACCTACAAAACACATCCACATACACAACATAGAATGAAAAAAAGTCTTACATATATATCTCCAGTCATATCAGTAGTCTAATAAAAGCTGCTTTATTTTACATTGAGCTGAGCTGCCTCATGGGGTCTGCTATATTGTGGTCACATGACCAGCCAAATACAAATTATAGGACACTTTTGCTATACCTGTTATAGGACACTTTTGCTCATGGAATAAATAATTTATGGCTGACTGTGAATATAGCATTTTTCAGTGGCACTGGTAACAGAAAACATTTGCATGATGCTGCATCCACATTGCTAAGTATCAATATAATATCCAAGACATTTGTTACATCTGCCAGTGCAACACAGAAAATAAAACATATATCTTTGATCAATAGGGTAAATATAACTTTTGCATTTCATTTCAATATTCAGATTTAACTGTACAGCTGGTTTACTTGAAAATACCTGTTTACTGAAATTCTGTATGTGCATACTTAAAGGAATAGTTCATGAGAAAAATAAAAATGTTCATCATTTACTCACCCTAATGTCGTTCCAAACCTGTATTAGTTTCTTTCTTATGTTGAACATAAATAAAATGTATTTTGAAGAATGCTGGTAAGCAAACAGTTGATGGTCCCCATTGACATCCATTGTATTTCTTTCCCTACTATGGAAGTCAATGGGGGACCAACAACTGTTTGGTTCTCAAAGTTCTTCAAAATATCTTCTTTTGTGTTCAGCATAGGAAAAAAACTTATACAGGTTTGGAATGACATGAGGGTGCATAAATGATGACAAAATTAAAATTTTTGGGTGAACTAATCCTTTAATAGCTGGTAGAATTATTATTATATCTATCGCATACCTTGTCAGTGTCGTGTGCTTGCTAAGCCCTTTGTTGTGATAAACAGTAAAGTGTGTTCAAGCGCTAGCAAAAGACAGTGTAAAGAAATACTCTTTGAGGAAAGCAGCCAATCAACGGAAGTTAAAAGCAGATCTTAAGTGTATCTATTTGCCTCATTAGTGTTTAGCGCAGTTGTCGATGATAGGAAACAATTGTTTTGTTTACTGTGTTGAGACGTGCTGAAGTTGCGTTTGGTCTTGTACTCTATCGCATACCTTGTCAGCGACGTGCGCTTGCTTAGCCCTTTGTTGTGATAAACAGTAAAGTGTGTTCAGCTGAATTCAATTTCTGTTTTGTCAAACAGGTATAAAAAAGGTTAGTATACCGCGGCAGCCCTCGTGTGAAGACCGAAGAGTGTAAAGACCATCGACTCTACCGTGCGACTCTACCGGGCAGGGACAGCAGCAAGGTACATAAGTATTGCCTTTGATTCATCCTTTTTCTACACCTTGCTTCACTTCTGTTTCAGTTTTAATGACCAACTCTTACTATGTGTTTCCATATCCCTACTACCACTCGCAAACCACGCATCACACACTATAGGCAGTCCAGTCCTAACAACCTGAACACTTTGCCTATGTCTGCTAATACACTACTTTCTTTTTCTATTGGTCTCTGGAATTGTCAGTCTGCAGTAAACAAAGCAGATTTCATTACATCTATTTCTAGTCATTCAAGACTAAACCTCATGGTCCTGACAGAGACCTGGATCAAACCAGAGGACACTGCTACACCTGCAGCACTCTCCAATAATTTCCAGTTTTCCCACACTCCTCGTCTGACTGGAAAAGGTGGAGGTACTGGTCTGCTTATCTCTAATGATTGGAAAATGTATTCCTTTACCTTCTCTGGGTATTAACAGCTCCTTTGAATCACATTCAGTCACTATTACCCACCCTTTTAAAATCCATTTTGTAGTTGTTTATCGACCCCCAGGACCACAAGGTAACTTCTTGGATTAATTAAATGTGCTGCTCTCAATCTTTTCTGAGGATGGCAATCCCCTAGTTATGCTTGGAGACTTCAACATCCACCTAGATAAACCTCAGGCTGCAGACTTCCACACTCTTTTGATCTCAAGAGAGTGTTAACTATGGCTACTCACAAATCAGGCAACCAACTGGACCTTATTTACACACGACACTGCTCCACTGATCATGTGCTGGTTACTCCACTGCACACCTTGGATCACTTCCTCCTCACTCTTAACCTCAACATGGTTCCTGACATGACACATACCCTTCCACATGTCATCTTTCTACGTAACCTACGCTCACTCTCACTCTCCCGGCTATCTGCTATGGTTTCATCTTCACTTCCTCCCCCTAAACACCCTTACCAAAAAGTAGTATACTTCAAGTTTATTTTAGTAAGTATACTTAAGTAAAGTTCAAGTATATTTTTAAGTATACTTTATGTAGTAAGTATACAAATATCAGTGTACTAGTAGTATACTTGTAAGTGTACTATTTCAATACTCCTTGGGACTAAACTGGCTCACTTTCTAGTATATAAAAGTATACTTTTAAGTATACTTTAAGTATAACAGTAGTAAACTTTGAGTACACAACTAGTTTACATCAAAATGTTTAGTTTATACTGCAACTATACTAAAAGTGAATTTATAGGTATACTGATAGTTTACTAATTAAATACTTGTAGTAGCATTTTTAGTACACTTTGAAGTATAGTCTCAGTAAACTACTAGTTTAGTAGTTTTATACTGCAAGTATACTCGTAAGTTTTCTTTAAGTGAACGTTACATCATACTTTAAGTATACTACTATGTCCCTATTTAGGTATTAATTTGTATATATTTTGTTACATGAATATCTGAACATACCAAACATCAAAAGAACAGCGTATCTGCTTGTAAACAAAAAAAAATTATTCTAGCTTCATGCATTTTTTTTAAATACTTGAATGTGGATAAGTTTCATAAATAAAAAATAAAGAAATAAACAACATTTTGAACAAAAAGCTGAAAAAATACTATGAATTGGATTCAGAATGATAATCAAAACGTAGATAAAGTCGATCAACACCCCAAGTCATTATTACCTCTTCATTGGTCGACATTTTATTCCATAATGTTACATAGTTTTGATACTGTTTTATGTCTGATGATCGTGTTAGAATACATGTGGAAGCATCTGTTGTTTCGGTTTCTTCTTCACTTGTGTTTTTTTGGAAATTTTGTACAGAAGATGTGTACTAGCGCCCCCTACAGTATAACAATGAAAACACAGATTCTAGGAGCACAATTATAGCTAAAATATATTTAGACTTTTTAAGTATAAGTCAAGCATACTTAAATGTCATTTTAAGTATATTTCTGAGAAGTACATAAAGCCAATTTCTGAGAAGTACATAAAAAGTAGACTAAAAGTATACTTTCCTATTTTTAGTTTAAAAGAAGTATATTAATAGCACACTTGAATAAACTTCTTTTTCGTAAGGGCAGTTATCATCTCTTGATGCTAACAGTGCTACTGATACTTTCTGCTCCACTCTTACATCTTGTTTAGACACTGTCTGCCCGTACCACCCCTTCTGTCCCTTGGCTGTCTGATGTTCTCCACGAACATCGTTCTAAGCTCAGGGCTGCTGAAAGGGTGTGGTGCAAATCAAAAAATTCTACTGACCTTAATATGTATCAATCACTTCTCTCTTGCTTCTCTGCTAATGTCTCCACTGCTAAAAGGACATACTATCATAACAAAATTAACAATTCGTCTAACTCTCACATGCTCTATAAAACATTTTCCTTGCTCCTTTGTCCTCCTCCTCCTTCATTAACTCTAACAGCTGATGACTTTGCCACATTCTTCATTAATAAAATTAAATCAGTGCACAATTTTCCACACCACAATCTGTCAAGCACATCTTACCAGAAAACATACACTTTTTCACATCTTTCTTTTCACTCTCTGAGGCAGAAGTCTCCAAACTCATCCTTTCTAATCATCCTACTACTTGTCTGCTTGATCCTATTCCATCTCATCTCCTTCAAGCCATTTCTCCTGCAGTTGTACATGGACTCACATCGTTAACACATACCTTTACACTGGTGTTTTTCCCTCAGTATTTAGACAGGCTTGTATAACCCCATTACTTAAGAAACCCACCCTTAACCCATCTCTTTTAGAGAACTACAGACTGGTTTCCCCTTTTCTTTTCATTGCAAAAACACTTGAATGAGCTGTGTTAAATAAGAAGATGATATTGTTATGTTCTCAGATTAAAACCATCAGTGCACAATTTTCTACACCACCTTCTGTCAAGCACATCTTACCAGCAAACATACACTCATTCACATCTTTCTTTTCACTCTCTGAGGCAGAAGTCTCCAAACTCATCCTTTCTAATCATCCTACTACTTGTCTGCTTGATCCTATTCCATCTCATCTCCTTCAAGCCATTTCTCCTGCAGTTGTACATGGACTCACATCGTTAACACATACCTTTACACTGGTGTTTTTCCCTCAGTATTTAGACAGGCTTGTATAACCCCATTACTTAAGAAACCCACCCTTAACCCATCTCTTTTAGAGAACTACAGACTGGTTTCCCCTTTTCTTTTCATTGCAAAAACACTTGAATGAGCTGTGTTCAACCAAGTCTCTGCCTTTCTCACACAGAACAACCTCCTCGACAGCAACCAGTCTGGTTTCAGAAGTGGACATTCAACCGAGACTGCCTTGCTCTTAGTTGTTGAAGCCCTAAGACTGGCAAGAGCGCATTCCAAATCTTCAATACTTATCTTGCTGGATCTGTCCG